CACCCATCAATAATATTACGGATTGTATGTCCATGAAATCTTGGCAATGCGTATCTGTTTGGTAAACTGCCCTCAAAATATAATGCACGCCCAAGTGTGATGGCGGAAAAATTGAGGTAAACAGAAACTGTTTACTAATCTGTTTATTCATAATTCTCAAAGACCATAGGCCTTCAGTACATGTGCAATCGTAATCAGTGTATCTACGTTTACATGTCTAAGATATTTTTCTTTTTTCATTTAATCCATAAAAATATCTTGGACGTCTATGTACAAGTTCTAAATGCCACTGAAAGACATCGTACTTTAACATGGTAACATGCTTTGAATATCATAGGTTCACAGCATGCAATACATTTACAGAGATTTCGTTAATACATTGTTACTTGACAGATCAACGTACATAGAACATATCAGTAAAAATTACAGTTTTTACATTTCTATAGTGTATAATCGTAAAACTGACAAGTTATATGTTTTCTCGATAATTGTTCGTTTGAGCTGCATCTGAATTTGGCAAGTGCAGTTCCAAAGGATTTTAGTGTTACATTGTATACGTATGGCTTTCTACAGAAACTGTTAAAGAGAGCATAAGTTGAGAGTTTCTTGTACAATGATAGATAACAATGCCTATTTTGAAGGTACACATCTGTTAAAGACTATTATATTTTTACATTGTAAATTTTTTACTCGACAGTGAAGTATTTGAATTTTGGAAAGTATGTTTTAAATCTAAACTTCTTTAACTCGACAGTGATGTACATGTATTTGAGTTTTGTCGGAAGTATGTCAGAGGTGTTTGAGCTGCTGTTTCAAGACCAGTAACGTTTTAACAATATTTGCAACGTTTTGGTCAAACATATTTTCAAGTATTTACTTCCTTCTACCCCGTTTTATACACGTTTTCAAGACACCTTTAAACACAAGAATGATATCCAATATATTCCAATGATGTTCCTATGCGTAATAGGTATTTAAGTGTCTCTATTCAAAGGTGCGCATAATCTTGTGCTTTGTCTACAACCCTAGTGGAATATTAAGGAGTAGCAGTATGCTCAGGAATGGAAGCTGGTGGCACTGATACACCACATGGTACAAAGGAATAACTTTGCAATAAGTTTATTAACATTAATCCTTTATTTTGAATGCCAATAAGATGGATAGCAAATGTCGTTATATTGGTGTTCTGTTCATTCGCATAATAAAGCTGTTCGTCTTGCAGATCAATAAAATAATAAAAGTGCAATGTAACAGCACAAACCTCAATTATGTGAGATCTTTGTTAATATCACTCCTTGGTTGTTATGCTGTAAGGTTTCGTCATAATAAACTTGATAATATGTATTATTGTTCCGTGATAATATGTCAGTTCTTAGAATCTGTTAATGTACCAGGCCAGTCTTGAACTATAAATCAAATATGCCCCATAAAATCATAGGTTATGGATCGTAGCCTTAATGAATTAGGAAACATAAAGATAGGGTCAAATCAGGCCGTTGCTATCCGTTGATGGTTGTTCACACAACACGTCAGGCTGCTGTTGTTTGTTGAGGGCTGGGCAAACAACACCCCAGGTGGCTGTTTATCAGCTCAACACACATCACACGCTCCCAAAGGCTTCCCTAGGTTGTGGACCTTGTGGTTCCAGCATTCGCTCATTAACATCTCAACGTCATACATGACAGGGGTCGGTCCGGGTTATAATTGGTCTTCAGCAACCCATGCTTGTTGTAAGAGGCGACTAACGGGATCGGATGGCCAGGCTCGTTGACTTGGTTGACACATGTCACCGTGTCCCAATTGCGTAGACTGATGCTCTTGCTGTTGATCCAAGGAATGTTTGGTCCAGACTCGATTATTTACAGACCGCCTCCATATATATATTGCTGAGTGTCGCATAAAACTAAACTCACTCACTCACTCAGTCCCTACATGGCAGGGTTGTCTGAATCTTGGTTGTGTAAGTACCTTGACAATTTGTATTCGTTTTAGTCACTGTAATTTATGTACCAAACATTAGCTCGAAATGAGTCTCTCACAAAGCAAAAGATCGGCCAAACAATGTTGTTATGGCTAAATTTTGCATATGACGGACTCCAATGATACATATATATGCAGACCCATCATCGATAGCCAAATGGTTAAATCGTCCGCTCGTCACGCCACGCCAAAGGTCGAGGCTCTATTCCCTGCAGGGATACAATATGTGAAGCCCATTTCTGGTGTCCCCCGCCGTTATTGAACTGGAATATTGCGTAAAACCATACTCACTCATTCAATCATGATTGAATCTCTCTTCGCCCCTGTTTCCTCTTTCTTGTTGTTTGGGGCGGCGGGTAGCCCAGTGGTTAAAGCGTTCGCTCATCACGCCGAAGACCCGCGTTCGATTCCCCACAGATAATACATTGTGTGAAGCTCATTTCTGTTGTCGTCCGCCGTGATGTTGCTGGAATATTGCTGAAACAGGCGCAAAACACAACTCACTCACTCACTTTTCTTCTTGTCAGAACCACACCTTCTGTCAGAGTCCCACCAAAGTGGTAGCCGTCTGAGACAGACATCATGTCGGCATTTCTGCAACATCAAACCACAGCGATCTTATAAAACAGGAATAATGTTCACAGTGACGTTGAACCAAACTCACTCACTCACTCTGTAGAGACCTGGGTGATTAATGGAATAAAACAGTATAGAAATTGTTTATGGGTCATGAAGCAAATGATTGTCTATTAAATACCTTTCCACGAACAATATGGAAAGTAGATATGAACATACATTCACATTTGAAGTTATGCTACTTTTCAACTTGGACACACGTGTAAGTAGAATAAGACCTAGACTAACAACTAGTCTCTGAAATGAACATATTTTACTGAAAAAAAGTTCATAGTAAAAAAAAATAATATATAATAAAAAGGAGCCCTGAGACTTTCTTCATTTTTGAAGCTGAGGAAATCTTGACTTGCCACATTTTCTAGACTTGTGTGGGCTTTCTTGGATATATTTGCTTCAGGGTCTGTACGACAGACTAAATAGACCGTAACAAAGCAGAAACCCTATAACTGGTCCACTTCTTGGGCTTACTGTAATCCATAATACTCTGCAAAAGTCTTGGCAAATTTCCTTTTGCCAAATGGAGCACGTTCAACCAAGTGTAAAGACAGTCAAAACATTTCTTTAACGTATGCCCAGTCAATTTCAAAAAGCGTCAATCATGTTTATACTAATTAACAATTGAATGAGGTTAGTATTCACTTGAGAGTCTGGTTGTTTCAGGAAGTAATAAAAATATCCGCTCCTGCAATACAATTAGTTTAAAAAATCCTTTTTGTTCTTTTTGAAGTATAACAATATCCTCGCATCGTGCCTTTGATTGACAACAGTCTCAACCTTCAGGGTTTCTTTACATGGCTAATTCGGTTATCAATGTAAATATTTTCTAATAATTATGATTGATGATATCCAGAAAAGGCACGTTAGCTCTGTATTTAGATAAGATCACAAGTAGTGCTCCGTCATGTTTGAAAAGCTGGGACAATTTCCTTGCTCAGAATATCTCGGTTAGCAAAATGTATCAAAATCATCAAAGTTAAAATTAGAAAAAACAGCAATTTATATAACTGACGAGATTGTTTTTGTGTTCCAGGAGGTTTTGCGTGTCACTTGAAAGCCTTTTTTGAGTATTTTTGGAGATTTTGAAGCTTGGCTAGATTTCACCATCGATTGATCGGACCTGGCTGTTTTTTCGTGTTTATTGCGTTACGTGGAAATGCGATTTGCGTTTTATTGGGGACTTCAAGTCAATAAAGTCTTTTTCCCCGTAAGAAACATCCCAGACTCATAAAAACCGCGAGACCTTGGATATTTTCAAAATAGATTTGATCGTTAAATATATGAGGAAATTTACGTGACATTGTCGCTGGCTTGGTATTCCGGTATCTGAGCGTGCTCCTGGCTTGACCATTAAGTGCTGCCGGTAACACGGCTGGGCTGAAAATGCCAATGAATATTCATGAAGTGATTTTAGTTTAGAGGATAATTTATACCAACACTTTTTTCAAAAGATGCCGTTTCCACAACAGTCTTTTGCATTTCAATGAAAGCATTAGCGAACGATTTATCGCATGTTTAAAGTTGCTCTTTTCCACTTTTAAGCTAATGGTGTTTATCTAGACTTGCCAAGTAAACAGTGTTCTTAGTTCGATACATAACATGAATATAACTTTGAATTCAATGTTTTTAAAAGTTTGTTAACAAAATATATTGTCCTAGGGATTTGATGATGATGATGATGATGAGGGGAGGAGGAGGAGGAGGAGGAAGAAGTAGAAGAAGGAGATGATGATGATGATGATGATGATGATGATGATGATGATGATGATGATGATGATGATGATGATGATGATGATGATGATGATGATGATGACGCTGATGATGATGATGATGATGATGGTGGTGGGGGTGGTGGCGATGATGATGAAGATATGAGATAATAACAACCGTCGTCTTCACCATCATCATTATTATTGTAATCATCATCATCATCATCATCTAATTTTTACCGGCTGTGCCTGTCTACAAAAGTTATGATTTCGTGATTTTCATCTGGATGCAGTCATATGATTTGTTGAATCGTAACTAAGTACCAGTGATATGTTCTTTCGTCAGGGGGCAAAAAAGGCGTTCAGACAAACCACTAACATATCAAATCAACAACAATGAATACGTAAACATCGTCCCCGAAATAGACCGCAAATTTAATCCAGATTCAACCTTGTGATGGATTACTTACTGCACGTTGACAGAAGCCCTGAATTATTGAAGCAGCAAACGTAGATCCCAGGCAATTAACCGACGGATCATCACAAGCGTCAATATGATCACTAACCAGATCGCGATGATTAGATTAGAAATTTTGATATAATTATGTCTTCGTTTCAGACGTGGCACTTGGCATGGACGTATCGACCTGTGTAACATTTGACTTTTTGACATTTCAGTGTGGCTAACAGTGGCTGTGGTTGGCTGGTGTGAGTCGGCAGGAATTCCGAGTGAGTATTCCTTTCTGATGTTACTTTGGTCCACCGATATTAGATGGTTGTACTCAACACCAGTCAAGAATGTGCATTCGGATCCACTCGTATCATTCCGGTTCATTCCGGGAGACGCCGAAATGCAGCTCAACCTAATTCGTCACTACCCGCCCCTTTCCGTAACCGACAAGAAAACACTTCCTTTCACGAGGAGTCGCTTCAAGTACATAAATTAAAAACATCCTGCAAGACTAGTTTTGGATTTTTCATTAAAAAGACCCAACGGAACTGCTAATTGTTTTCAGTCATGCTGTAAATGCAATTAAATCCGATGTGTTTTAAATAGCATCCGCGATATATTAATTAAGTGGAGAAAATATACGTCGAAAGTGGTCCCAAGGGTTGACAATTATTCCCGCTTTGCCCGTTTGCACTTAGAGAGAACCCAGTCATAAAATGGCTATGAGGGTGGCAAGAGTCGCTTCTCAACTTGTCCCGGAACAACACGAGTCGGTCACGAATGCTGTTTCCCTTGACAACACTTGGATTTGCGAAATTGTCATTGTCTGTACTGATTGATTATCGGAAGTAATTTATCGTTCGATTATAGGTTATTTAGCACTGAGTCCAGTTTATGGTTTACGGACATTCTTGACAGTGTCCACATAGTTACTGGGAGATAATGTGCCCGTCGATGCTTGTGATTATAAACACTGACCAGGTCAGGGAGACGGGTGTTGGGGTCAAGAATCTCTAAACCATTGTGATTAAGATCAGGGTAAATATTTGGTGCTAACTTGCAGTTAGAACTCAAGAGATATGTTTACTTGAACAATTTCTTATAAACTAAACGCGTCAACGCATTTCTATACATGTGTAAGTAAGGTTTTATCAACAATGAGTGAATTGGTTTTACACCTCTTTGAACAGAATTCCAGTAGAGTGTATACAACAGCAGACCTGCTCAGTGTGGGAGAAAATCCCGAAGTGGTGCATCCTTCACGTACCACCTTTGTATAAACCCCGTAACATTATCGGAGAAGGTTTCGAAACCTGGTGTGCCCAAGGGACGCAACTCTGGCCCCTCACGTGATGGAGACAGCTACTTCAGCAACGAGGTGTTTCCGCGCTTGCCCTGAAGAGCAAAGATCAATACTTTGTAATTATAGTAATGGTTCAGACTCTACGGTACACTAGCAAATGGCATATTCATAACTGCTAATATCCATTAGGTTATGTAGTCAATCGATGAGGTCGTCCAAAAATTGGTTAGACAATCTATGCAAAGTTTATTGTTTTACAAGATACACCTCGCAGCGTTGCCTTTTAACTCCGGTAACTGACCTGAGTTAATTGGTCATTTACCAAAACAATACCAAATAACTATGAGTGAGTGAGTGAGTTGGGTTTTACGCCGCTTTTAGCAATAGTCCAGCTCTCGAACCCGGCTCTTCGGCGTGACGAGCGAACGCTTTAACTATTAGGCTACCCCACCTCCCAGTGAATATTTTAATGTGGATCACCCCAGATACCAAAATACGCATGAATAGGCTACTATCCAAGTAAACTGCCAGGCAAAAGATAGTATACACCCATGTTTGAAGCTGGCTGACTATTAAACAAACTAGTATTTCTTTATTATTTAAACTTTTTTTTATTTCATTAGGTTTTCATTGTTTGTTTTACCCTACGTATTGCGACTATTTCATTTCAAGTAGTGCATCGTGTTAATAAGGGTAAGAAGGTTTTTGGTCACACCCAAAGTGTGTATTCCCTTTTTCCGGAAGTGTAGCATAATTTCAATGTAGAAAAATGTATTGTCTCTTTGTGTTCACCTTTGAATATCATTCCATGCACTCTTTATTATTTGTAGTACAATCAGGCTTACATTTTAATGCCCAGCCCCTCTTCATGTAAATAAATGTCTCTGTATCGCAAATAAATAAAAAAATCTAAAAGTACACCATGTGTATACGTGTGAATGAACAAAATTGATGTAAAGTGACACCCTGTGAATTCTCAGAGTACCATTCCTTGTTCAAATGTCCGGATTGACAAATTATTTATTAACAAACCATTTTAACTTAATGCCGTTTTAACTTAAGTAACGTACGGACTGTCCAAATATGGCCTTCCTAAAGGTAAGCATTAAGGCTCCATTGTATTTGGCGAGTGGACCCTTGAAGTGTGTTACGTTGCAAGTACCAATCTCGTTACGCTGTTTACACACTGAGTCCTGATCGTCGACATTGAACGATCACCTAATTCGACTGCATTCTTCTGTTTCTGAATTGAATTACTTCCTTCGCCGCTCCGCAGCCCTGTCCATGATTTTTCGGTTTCATGCCAGGCAACCGAAACAACAAGAAACGGCACATTCATCACAATACCGCCATTGCTAAATGTTGTTAAATCACCTTCCTCGCCGTCTCTTGTTTAGTAACGCTTGCTAGGTGAATAGCTGTGATCTATACCACGTCGGTTCCAAAGCTCTGATGTATCTATGGCATCCAGTAACACCATTACCGGAGTTTACCGGTTACCATAGTAACCCCCCCAAGACTGGAATGGAACGCAGGGTGTCTGTTATGAAATTATAATATACAGATAATCAAACATGTGTTATTAATATTGCAGGGCATATTATGTGCTGACCACACGCGTTCAAATGTTAAACCTGCATTGTTGGCCTCAAGCCCACCTACGCAGCTCCATGATGCGATGGAGTAGCCTAATGATTACAGCGTTCGATCGTCGCGCCTATGACCCAGGTTCGATTCCCCACATAGGTACAATGTGTGAAGACCGTTTGTGGTGTACTCCGACAAAGGGTCATAAAACGATACTTACCTGTAGGGTTGGGTATTGCCAAAATTTTCGTATTGCGATATATTGTGATATGGGTTGGCGTATTGAAATAGGTATTGCAATATATTGTGAAAGTGTAACACATGGTTTAAGGTAATGAAATTACTGTTTCCTTTCTTTTGAAACAAAGCCAATGGCCACTGTCAGGACTCAGATGTGATTGTACAAGAGACCAGTTGAAAATATTTCCAAATTGAAGACTTCGCTCTAAATTTTGGAACTTGAGAAAAAGCGTCTACAGCGGCGTCCGCCATTTCGGTTTGTTTGTCCCTATAACGAGTGCCGGTACCAATCCTATTTATTTATATGGTTTAAATGTCACGCAAATGCAATTATATGACCAATAACAATTCTCAAAACTATCAGTGTATAATAATATAAAGTAGATAAAAATATTATTAGTATTTTTTACTACATCACGAAAATTACCGATCATGGTCACGGATATTGCCGATCGTATCGGGTAAACCGGTTCGCGAAAAGTGTACCGCAGTATATCGTATTCTGAAATTCGAATTGCAATAAACCGGTTAACCGGCATTATCGCCCACCCCTACGTATCTGTAGATCAATGATAATTGTTATATTTAACTGGACCGCTTGATAGCACAATTACCATACGTCTACTTTTGACTCTCGAACAATATTTTGTATTGGACACGAACGACCCTTATTGAACATATTTAAAACGTCCATGCATGTGAACACCCAGTCTCGACTATCTGCCGAAACATGTCATTGAGCGTTGAAGGTAAAAAAACAGGAAGATTATTCGAACGCATCCCTGGAAATTAGTGATGACACCAGTTAGGACCGTTCGGTATACCGATATATCGCAATACACTTTTCAAACGATACGTATCGCAATATGATTTCGGAGAACCGGTATATTGGGTAAAGAACATTAAGCTTTTGTGATTATTATTATGGTTTAAATTAAAATGTACACAGACTTTCATTCACAACAGATGTTTTCCTTCATTATTCAAAGACAAAACGGAAAACTGTAATACTATAAATTTATGAAAAAAAGAAAATAGAATTCCTGACTATGCAACTAAGTTTGAGACTGCTCTTATCAGAACCATAACATATATTTTTAGGGCCTTATAATGTAGAAGGTGAGGTGAGGTGAAATTGGGTTTTACGTCGTGCTTGAGAATATTTCGCTTATATGACGACGTGCATGTTTGTGTATGTGTATGTGTATGTGCAGCTCATTGTACTAGCCCAGACTGAAGCTGGTTTTATAGTGCTAGCCCACTGAGATACCATGCCGCAGTGAAGCATGAATACCCCACTCAGACACATTATACTGACTCCGTGCCCACCAGTCCGTGTTGCACCCATTAATGCCGAGCGCCAGGCAGGGACCAACAAGTACCATATGTTAACGTCTTTTTGGTATGACGCGGTTGGGGATCGAACCCGCTACCTTCCGCTCTCCGGGCGGACGCTCTAACCACTACACCACGGAGGCGGTTATAATGTAGAAATTAGGATCGGGTACCTGAATCGCAATATATTGCAATATAGTTCATTTGCCAATACAGTGCCCTAACACCTGGTGTTCAAGAAAAGGGGAAAACACGCAGCTTGTCGAAACTATGAGCAATGACCACTCAGTGTGAATGATAAAAATCATCCATCAGCATTTTGAGCTTTCCTCCCACGTTGTCCTGTAGTTCTACCGGTCTGTGTGAATCTCCCTCACTCGCCCACTCACAATGTACAGTTAAAATAGAATTACGAGAATTTATTCCGTCATTGATATTCCGAAGGGACTACAAACTCTGGAATTTAGGATTAGTTTCAAACAATCATTCATTACGAAAACATTTGTTCAACAAAATCAGTACATGCTCTGTGAGTAACTCGAGTTGCAAGTCCATCCTTTGAATGTCTGTAGTGTTTGCACGCCGACTTGGCATGGCGAGAGTACACATGTGTGTTGTTAGGCAACAAAAACAATTTGTGAATGTAAATTACGCGATCGATGCTAGCTACGGAAGGAGTGAGTGAGTGAGGTTAGTTTTACGCCGGTTTTAGCAATGTTTCAGCAATATCACGGAGGGGAACACCAGAAACGGGGTTTAAACATTGTACACATGTGGGGAATCGAACCCGGGTCTTCGGCGTGACGAGCGAACACTTTAACTACAAGGCTACCCAAACGGAAGGACTGGAGTGGGTTCCATGCTTACCCTTTTTGCGATCATCTTGCGTCATCACTGTTTCCACTGTTTCCAGTGATGTATAAGTATAAATGTCACTATTATTTTATCTTTCACCAGGGCGGTAGGGTTGCCTTGTGGTTAAAGCGTGTCGCTCGCCACGATGAAAGCCTGGGTTCGATTCCTCACATGTGTGAAGCCCATTCTCGTGTCCCCCGCCGTTCTATTGCTGCTTTTAACAGTATCCAAGCTATGTCTCGGCGGAGGAACCAAGAAATGGTCTTCACACATTATACATATGTGGGGAATCGAACCCGGATCCTCGGTGTAACAAGCGAACGCTTTAAACACTAGGCTGTCATACCTCCCCATTTCTATCTATGACAATGTACCACCAAGTCAAAACATTGATTACACAACAGTCTCGTTTCCTGCTGACTGGGTTTCGTCCTATTGTGCAACTTAGTACAATAATGAGTCCAGAATTTTGAGACCAGTTCATTCAACTGGATACATAGAAATTAATCCGTGTTTTTGATACAACTAAGCACTTGTATATTGCAACACTACGCTCCTTCTAATCCTTACAAACACGTCGTGCAGCATGCTCTGACAGACGGAAATCGTGGAAATCTCAAAACGAGGCTCTGCCGCTAGAAAAGTTTGGCGGTCTGGTACGGACTTGATATTAAATCAATCACATTGTGCGTTACAAAGACTACATTGAATAAGCGCAAAGAACAGATAACAGGTGTAACCAGTGAGCCAGATGAACTGTGAATCATTTTACGACCTCATCAAAAGGGCAGTCTGTGACATCTTAGTTAAGGTCATGCTGCCTACACCTCGCCATAAAATATCGAAATACGATGTTATTAAAGTTTAAAATTAACATTAACTTGTAAATACCATTTTCTTATGAAACAAGGAATTGGAATTCAGTGTAACCATAGTTGTTTGTGGCGTCTCTTTTCACTCTCACACGAGAATATTCGGATCGGCTGAAACGTAGGTCATTGTCTGAATAGGTTAATGAGACTAATGTTTCGGTTTGTGGTCTTTGTAGTCTGTAGGTAGTCCCCGCCCAGGGTTGTTAGTAACAACGAAGGGAGGAATCTTTGACAGTAATTACAAAGGCGTAGGGCAATATTTGACCTGCTGTTTAAAATAAATTAAATAAAGTTATCGTTGCCATTTTAAAAAAAAATGTTTTTGTTTTTTCCCAAACGAGGGGAACTAACGCATGGTATGACTATGTGATCAATCTAATTTCTTCTTGATCTTTTCGGGCGGTTGGGTAGCCTAGTGGTTAAAGCGCTCGCTCGTCACGCTGAAGACCCGGGTTCGATTCCCCACATGGGTACAATGTGTGAAGCCCATTTGTGGTGTCCCCCCGCCGTGATATTGCTGGAATATTGCTAAAAACTCACTCACTCACTCTTCATCTTTATTTTTCAGGTCTTCCGGACACGTACGGCCGAGAGTTCTTTCTACCCTACATCGATTATTCCCCGTGGCTTTTGACAATCAACATTGTGCCTACATTTCACGAATATTCAAATTTCACAATCACAATAACAGACCATCAAACGGGGAGGAGGGCTGAATGGGAGATGACAAAATATGGAAGAGTTAGCCTCAATTATACAGACATCATCAACAACTACGACCTGACGGAGTATTCAGGTATTCCCTATAGAAGTTTATTAATACTGAAACATTAAAATATTGTTTAACCGAAATGTATGGAATCCTGGAAGGGACATTGTCGCGCTCTCAAATACAAGCAAAATGAGGCAAAATTACCCAAAACGCAACACGCGACATCACGACAACGCGACAAATGGGCGAAATGTCGCGTTGTCGCGATGTCGCGTGTCGCGTTTTGGTGTATTTTGCCTCACTTTACTTGTTTTTGAGAGGGCGACAATGTGACATAGCGACAATGTCCCTTCTCGGATTCCATAGAAATGTCATGTGATCATTCACAGTTCGTGAAATGATCTGTCATGGGTTCAGGTAAAGGTATCATAAGCACACACATTTTGTTCGGGTCGATTGACGCCAATGCCGCCATGTGGAACGTTAAGATGTGTATGAGAAAACGTGTCTCCGCATCACATCTCGGTTAAAAAGACAATATACAACCATGATCGATTGTGGCTACAAATGACACACAAGAAAATGGTCATTTGGTAGTGATTGTGATCCTAAATTTTGAAATATTTTGGAGGCTGCTTTCACAAAAGTAACGTTTTGGTAACGTTTCTACGTTTTCAACTTTGTTTTCAAGTGAATAAATATATTTTCCCCGACAGTTTATGTTAACCTAATATTTATGAATTTTAATTTTAAAATTTGTACAACAATGTTAATTTATTTTCAGGTACACATATAAACTCCCCGGAAGATATTTCTATCTACATCAAGATGAGGAAAGGCGACATGATGACTGTGTTTCCAATGGACGCGCTTGATCACGAATATTTCATCCCACAGCGATCGTCTCCCTTGGACTATTCCCTTGTGTTCGTGTTCGCTTCCTCAAATAACACCACTGTGACCACTAACTGCAACTTGACAGATACAATGTCTAACGTATCACATGACCAATATGGCGACCAGACGTCTTATCCAATCAACGCCTTCGAGACATTGAAATTAGAGACGTCCAATGGGAACACGATACGTGTAAAAGCCGATAAGCCAGTGGGAGTGATACTTTTGACAGTTGACGTGCTGTATGACACTGAAAACTCCTCCTTTGAGGATTCAAATTTAGTGTATTTTGAATTTGTACCTCCACGGTGTACGTGGGGAAAACTGTTTTATGCCGTGTCGTTTTTTGAGCATGGATCTTTAACTTTCACAATATCTGGTAAGTATAATTTATAAGATTATGCAATCGGATTTGTTTAAAGATGAATTTTAAAACCTTCGACAATGCTGAGAATTCATCAAAGATGGGAAGATACATGTTCTATGGATTTAAATTGTATAGACTGTTAGGTCTAAAACTGCTCACCCGTGAAGGTCCGGGTTAGAATATTGATCTTCAGTAACCCATGCTTGCCGTAAGAGGCGACTAACGGGATCGGGTGCTCAGGCTCGCTGACTTGGTTGACACATGTCATCGGTTCCCATTTGCGCAGATCGATGCTCATGCTGCTGATCACTGGATTGTCTGGTCCAGACTCGATTATTTACAGACCGCTTCCATATAGCTGGAATATTGCTGAGTGCGGCGTAAAACTAAACTCACTCACTCTAAAAATTGCTGGATTTGCAGACAGATTCGACCAAATGTTGTCCCAGTGTGTCAGCACCCTATCCGTGCTAGTTGATCGCACTTGTACAATTTCAAGATTCCTCCAGACAAAACTTACACGCCAGGAAATGACTGGAATGCTGTTCTACGAGGCGTTTAACAAAAAACCCATTCTCTCACACTTATATATACATACATACTTGTACGTACGTATGTATTGAGATGACTGTACATACATATTTTCAGAATTACGACGGTGAAAAAATCCACGTATGTATCGCCGTACCAAACAGATACTGCATTCACTAAAACGTTTTTCCACTACAAATTTCAAAACGCTATGGCGTTCAGTAATATTAACGCAGCTGTAAGTGTAGGCAAAATTGCAAAGAAGTAACTCAAAAACACGTCTTAAATGAAATATGCTTTTTTTATATTTCCAGCTGAATTGGAAACAAACATCACCCTAAAAACTCACGACTCCATCGTGAACGCCATCGTAGGAGCCAACATGACGGAGCATTATTTGTGTGCGAACGTGTCGTATGTGACTTTAACTGCTTCAAGCCCTGTCCAAGTGTATGTTATTCAGACAAATGAAAAAAGTCATCTTGGTTGTAGGAGTTCCTATTTCCTCCCTCCGATTGAGCAGTATTTACGGTGCCTGAGAACCTGTATGGAACTATTGTGCCCTTCCTTCCTCCCCCTCAGTCTCGCCGACTTTCACCCTTCCATTTCTGATAGTGTCATTTTCTCGGATGCAAATTCATCTACAAACTGCACAGTGGCCACGTATACCAACATTGGTGTTCATAAATCCACGATAAAGACAATAAAAATAGATAACTCATACATGGTCTTCCTCCAAGATGGCGCCGCCGGAAGTGTGATCCCTCTGGGGTCAAGGTTGTCCCGGATACACGGGGCGTGTGTGCAGACAATTGTCGCCAATGGTGGGGGTGGGGACGGGGTTGATAACGACTGTGACGGCTTCATTGATGAAGAGACGCTGGATATGAAAGATGACGACGGCGATTCGAGAGTTGATGAGGACACAGGGATGGTGTGTAATGAAACCGAGACGTCAAGGAAACTGCGGTCGAAGGAAGTTGACAAGTCGGTGACGAATGTTTTCTTCAGTGGAGTTGATTACGTGGACGAGGAGGACTCTCAGAAGCCTTTGATAGCGGTTATTGTTTCTCTGTGTGTTTCAATATTCGCAGTTTTTGCTGTAATCTCAATATTTATGCTTCTTGAACTTTTATCCAGGCGAAATCAACTACGAAACACAAAAATCAGACCGTTTGTTTCATGAAATTCAGTAGCCAACATATGTGCTTCATGAAACTATGCCTGTTGCCAAGTAATTCCTTGCAATTGAACAGACAAATAACGCTTTATTTCAGTCAAGGATTCAACACAAATACATTTGACATTGCAATATGTATTTTAATATTTCTAATGTAACTTGTTGATAAGATTTTTCACGTTTAAATCTAAGATTTGCAGCATGTGGATGAATGAATGATTTAATGTTGTCCCTAGCGGTGTCTTGTATGTAATCGAATCTGGATCAGACAAACGAGTGGTTGATATCATGAAGGACAATCCGTGATATTGGCGTTGGGTGAAATACCCTTAGTCGGAGCTAACATTATCCCATTAAGCTGATAGACATTTGAGGACTTTTCTGCCTCGAATGACATGAAATAATGTATTCACAATGAATAGTGCAAACTAATATTTTATAAATATATGTTGACCCGTGAAGGTCCGGGTTAGAATATTGGCCTTCAGTAATCCATGCTTGTCGTAAGAGGCGGCTAAAGGGATCCGGTGGTCAGGCTCTCTGACTTGGTTCACACATGTCATCGGTTCCCAATTGCGTAGATCGATGCTTATGCTGTTGATCACTGGATTGTCTGGTCCAGACTCAATTATTTACAGACCGCCGCCATATAGCTGGAATATTGCTGAGTGCGGCGTAAAACTACAGTCACACACTCACTAAATAAATATGTGTTGCTGCGCAGACAGGTGACATTCGGGTGCTTGTTCCTCAGAATGAACGTATGATGATTATGAAGATGAGAGTTGATACAGCAGCAATACATCGGTATAATTCTTACAATGGCTACTAAATGTTCAGGCTTCAGAGGACTGAAACATTCATTTCTTTTTCTCAGCATTTAACTATATTCTATGTAATCTCAATAACGCTAGTTAACCTTGTTCCTTGTTTTGTCGGCACCACTCCTTTGCTCTCGAGTTTCACCGATATATTCTTAGGACTCAGGTGACATCGTTGTGTTTCTGAACTATTGTTTTGAGTGGCGTTAACCCTACCTAACTCATTAACTCATGATGCATGTTTTCATTTTCCTGGTCGACAACAATCCCTATGGATAGATAAGATTGGATAGTATTCGTACACTGTTTTCTTGGGATAATATTTTCAGCAGGGTTTATTTATGGTTAGATAAGTTAAGATAGTTTTTGTACGCTGTTTTTTTATAATACTTACATCAAGGTGTGTATATCTACGTTTAAAATGAAGATGCGATGCTGTTTTCCAAGTTTCATAAACCTCATTTCCGACTTTTCATATGTGCTACTTCCTAAACTGCCCAATGACCGATATATCCAAAAATACCTCCGGATTTCTTTTCTCATATGGGTCGTATTGTACATTTGTGTATTATATATACATCTGTAGCCGCTGATAAAAGCAAAACTACAGACAACATTTTAGACTCTAGATAGGCGGTAACATTCGGTTGAAAGAATGTTGACATGATTGAATATAACAGAAGGAAATCATACTGAGAGATTTATATATTTAGTTTACCTACATGGTGCTTTGTCAGAGAGATGTGAAGAAAATTAATAAAGTAAGCCCATTTCGTGAAGCAAATGAATACAAAGAAGATTGAAACCAACGCTAGGATCTGACTAAACCAATTCCAGTTCAGGTCTGTGTTCTGGTCTGGGTATAGGATACAAATATGGTTGCCTCAACCCAGTGATTATGGTTTACACTGCCTTTAGCAATATTTCAGCAATATCACGGAGGGAAACTCCAGAAACTATCTTTACACATTGTAGCTATCTGCCTACTGTTGCTTCACCATCAAAGTTGCGGTTCTACGAATGAGTGAGTGAGTGAGTGAGTGGAGTGAGTGTGTGAGTGAGTGAGTGAGTGAGTGAGTGAGTGAGTGAGTGGGTGGGTGGGTCTGGGTCTTAGTGAGTGCGTTGGGTTTATTCCAACCATATCACTGAGTGGGGCACCAGAAATGGGCTTCAGACATTGTGCCCATGTGGGGAATCGAACCCGGTTCTTCGATGTGACAAGCGAACGCTGTAACCACTAGGCTAGCCCACCGCCCAGCGGTTCTTGGACACCAGGCACAATATGCACAATTCGTTAAATATATATATATCTTAACCCGATACTGTTTGATCTTCACAGAAATGTTCACAAAGCATCGAGCGGCCCAACACCGTCTCCAGGACTACGCTGTTGATGCTCCGTGTTTATGTAAGTGTGAACATGCCCCGACAGCATGATGCAATCTCCCCACAGAATTTGTAAAGGCCTTGTTATGATTTGCTTGGTGATTCCGGGTATTATGGCAATCGATTTCCTGAAGAGCCGAGGATCGTATGTCCCTCAGGGGTTGGGTATGGTGTTGATATTTAATGTAGGATAAATGGCTCTTTGAACATTGTGCATGACGCATTGGGCACATGCAGGAAGGGCGGTTAATTCTATTGATCTGATAGCACTATTGTTATACAACAAAGTATGAAACTAGTCAGCGTGTATGTACTGTGCTTGAACAGGCTTTGGATGAGCGGATGAATAACTTAATTGCCGAGCTCAGAAACCTTGATGTTCATTTGTCCAACATGGTTATTTGAGTGTTGAGAATAGGTACTAATTTACTCAGTTTCACGTCGAAGGTCGAGATTGCAATGTCGATTACAAAACAGGTTAACTTTGGAATATCGATATGTCAATATATCGATCTAAGGGAAATGCATGTTTGATGACATCCATTTGCGGTTATGTTCTACACAAGAAATTGAGTCGACGTTCTTTCGACAACGTCTTTCAACTTCACCCTTTTAAACATGTTGCCAACCAAATATTTCTTTTCACACGTGAGGGAACAGAGTTTCTCTTCACTGCAAACTCATTTTCATTTTTGTTTCTTAAATGAAGATCCCCAGGAATAACTTTTTGTACTTGTATTTTCATTTTTTGGTGTTGATTGCATACATAATCAGCACTTTTAACCTGGAACATATATACAGTCACATTATTTCTTCATTTAAGAGACTTAAAATTTAGGAGACAAAATTTATTTGGGCAAATTACATACGTACCATCTGTTCTGTAAAGTTCTGATGTACAGATTATAGCCAAGTTGTCAATTTTAAATGACGACAGCATGCCAAAAATTGAAAGATGATGATCTGAAGTTTGATAAATGCTGTAATAAATGTGTGTATCTTCCAAGAATCACTATAGCATCTATAGTAAATTCGGACATTCCATGTGCCAAACTGAAGGTAGAAGGTAGTGTAGATGACGTGTACAGGTAGGAAATGGACAACACCTAAGGCGTGTACATTACAATCAAGACTATAGCCACAATAATCTCCCATGTGTGATTAACGTGTATATTGACATTACATTTTGAATGTGTACAGGTCTGTCAATAAATATTTCAACCCCAAACCTGAAGAGTTGTTATTGGTAATGCGATGACCTTCGCCGAGGTCATGACCTGATGAAGGAGCAATAATTTGCTCTGCAACGTCGGATAAAGAATAAAGAGAACTTGTTATCCATAAAACCGCGTCAAGTATTCGAGGTCATGACGTCATCAATTCATCATCGACAGTTTCTTCCACTTGCAAAACGGATATTTAAGCAACTGGAGTGGTGTTAGTACATTCATGCTTTATCCTGGCTCTGAACTTTGCTACAGAGAAACACTGATTATGTGTGGGTGGGATGGGGAGTGAAGGACCTGTTTAGAATTGATCTCTAGCAACCAATGCTTGTCGTAAGAGGCGACTAGCGGGATGGGGTGATGACGTGGTTAACACATCATTGTATCCCTGTTGCATAGGTCGATGCTCATGCCGTTGATTACTGAACGATCGCCGTCATATAGCTGGGGTATTGATGTTTAACACAATAAATAACCCCACCCCCGCAATAAAACAAAAACAAAAACAACAACACCCCACCCCTCAAAAAAACAAAACAAACCCAAAACACACACACAAAAAACCCAACCCCAAACAAACACACCCCAACCCCCGAAATAAAAAAACAACAAAAAAAAAACAACAAAAACAAAGCAAACAACAAAAACCCATGTGTATGCATTATGTCTAGGGGTGCAATTTTTATAATTCCAGATTACCTAACTATATTACCATGTATGAGTTGAGCAGATAACGTGGAGTAAATGATGTAACCCTGGCGACTGCCATTGCTACAGAAGGGTCCACATCAACTAAAGATCAAAGTAATCTGTCAAATATTTATCAAACTAACTGCATAATGAACAATATATTTATGATCTAAATTTGGTTCTGAGAAGATAAAAGGTGAAGAATATTCATATTTGGAGTAATAAAGTGGAAAATCGATTAAAGTTAAGATGTTCTGTCAAATATTTATCAAACTAACTGGATACTGAACTAGATATTTATGAAGACATTTGAGATCTAAATTTGGTACTGTGAATATACAAAGTGAAGAATATTCATACCATATCCGTTTGTTAGGAAGAATAAAAGGGAAGATCGATTAAAGTTAAGATGTTATGTCGATTATATATCAAGCCCAATAATAACAATGAATGGAACAAAATTATATCTATTATTAAGAACATACGGCTGAAAATATCCATACTACGAAAAACATCAATAAACCATAAAGACTATTGTCAGGAAGAAAACGGGGAATTATGAGACAAATTATCAATGAAAGCCACATACATTCAACAAAAAGCCACCAGTCGGCGTATATCATGATTACGGTGATTTAATATTTGGTTCTCAGAAAAATAGTCTGACTAAAACTATTCTAACAAAGGTCCCCGAAACGTTTGTAAATACTAGTGACAACGAAAAAACACATTACAATGTTAATAAATACATTATCTTCTTTGGTGGGGAGAAAAAACAACAACTGGTGACCAAAAGATAAGAAAATCCATGCGACGGAAAGGCTCAAGGCGAATTTGCAATGCAGTGAAAACGTATTAAAATTCAACCAAACTGATTGCGATGCACATTCACCTGGTGCAGTTGCGTTCAAATGGAATGGATCGATATCTGCTATAGATGGATAAATTGCTCGATCAAGGTCGAATAATACACATGCAAGGCAGCCATTACATGGTAACTGAATGCTGTGTAAAGATCAATTCCATCATAAAGTTATGAAAAGATTCGATCTGGAATGTGTAGCAGTATAAAAAAAGATTAACAAAATTGACCCATTGATGCTAT